GGAGGGAGGGGAAAAATGAGGACCTAATGTCGGGGGTTTAAGTGGAGAGAAAATGTTTTCAGAATGATGTACAAATGTGCTTTACACAATTGATGTGTGTATGGATTGAGATAACAGTTGTATGAGCCCCTAATAAAATGTTTAAATAAAAAAAAAAGCAATAGTTAAAAAAAAAAAGAGTTGTTCCCAAGAGCTTGGACAAATTACATTGGCAAATCACATTACAGGGATGCATTATGAATATGTTTTACATTTTAAAAGTATTATATATATATTTACATATATATAATTTTTTAATGATAAAGGTGCATAACCTCATTGTGAAAATTTCAAACAGAATAAATGAAATGTGAAAACTTTCCTAATGGTATTCATCATTTGGTATGTGTCCGTTCAGCTATTTTTCTAGTACTTGTCTTATAAGGTTGGATCATGGAATTCAGTTGACCTGAAAGTCAGGATCCTGCTTTTGGTTTCAGATTTAATAATTTCTCCCCCTTCTTTCTTTTCCTTATAGGCTTGCTATGGATGTTCTTCGGGGTCAAAATGTGACTGTAGCAGTATAAAGGGCCAAAAGGTGAGATCTAGGATGAGACTGCACACATAAGAAAACCATTCAAATTCATTTATGAATAACTATTTTATATAGTTCTTTTGCTTTTCCTTGTAAGTTAATAATATGAATTCTACTGTTCTGCTTCTTTTAGACAGTTGTAAGATTTAAATGGGCTATTTTAGGGATCAGCAAATATTCTCTGTAAAAGGCCATGCAGTGAGTATTTTAGACTTTTTTGTCCATGTAAGGTCTCCATCACATATTCTTCACTTCTTTTTTTTAACAGATGTATAAAAATATGTTTCCAAAAAAAACATTCTAAGTTATTTGGCTATATAAAAATAGGCCTGTGGCTGCATTTGGCTTAGGAAATGTAATTTACCAACTCCTGGTAGATCTTGTTGAAGTCACTGACTTAATAGGCAAAAACAGGGGGAAGATTAAGCATTTATGAAGTTACTACTCTGCTGGATCCCATTGTAGACACTTTCATGTATTTCATCTACTCCATCACAGCTCAGGTATTGATGAATCTCTGTTTTCCTGACACCTTTTCCACAACGTCTGCTATTGTACAGCCAACTCTGTTGCCATCGAATTGATTCTGATTCATAGTGTCTGTACGAGTACAGAGTCACACAGCCTCACTGGCTTTCCAAGAGTGTAAATCTTTACAGATGCGGACTGTGGCATCTTGCTCCTGAGGAAGTGGGGCCGTAACACTGACCTACTGATGGGTGCCCATGCACTTAGCTACCAGGGCTTTATCTCCTATGATAAAGATATAATGACAAAGTAGGTGATGCTAAATAATATAAACAATACTAATTGACACTGAACTGAGAAATTAAAATGGGGTTGTGATTTTTGACCTAATGAAAGTTTTACTAGGAGAAAAGGAATCAGATTATAGTCTATGCTCGTTGGGCCTCAATAAATGCTTTTGAATAATTGAATGAATGTTACTGATGGCATTCTTTCATTTGTATTTCATTTAGCGATATGGAAGGTCCCCAAACATATTAAGGAGAATTTTTTAAAGTCCCAGAGTAAAGAAATCTACTCATTTATATTTATATTTGTTTTGCAATGCTATATTTCTAAGCCCCATTTGACCTTCCTTAATACATTCATTAACGTTAACTGAATAGCATTACAGGATACCTATACAGGTGATGTTAAATTGAGGGGAACAGGGTTTAAGGATTTTTAAAAATTTCTATTGTTGCTGTTGTTGAGAATATCCCTAGCAAAACATACCATTTCACCACTTTCTACATGTTCAATTCAGTGACACTGATTATATGCTTTGAGTTGCATGACCATTTTCATCTCCTCTTCTGAGTTGTTTCTCCTCTATTAACATGAACTCATACACCCTAAGCTTTCCATCTAATCTTTCTGACTTGAAGCTTTCACTTTGATCCTAAATATGTTCTTAAAAGAGTATAATGCTCAAGGCACACTTTTTTTCTTTTACTACTTAAGCTAAACTATTGTTTGGCTTTTAAAAGACTTCAGGGCATATCTTTGTTTAAGGTTTAAAGATTGTGCCAGAGCAGTAGTTTCTGGAGTGAGGGGAATAGATTTGTAGTGAAGGCACTTTCTGTACTGGTAAAAATACCAAGAATGATTAAATTGTGATAATGACTGAATTACTTTTATCAGACTAATACACTTCCTTTAAATAACAGCTAAGTATTCTGATTCAAAATAATAGCTATTTGAAACTCTAAGACAGTGAACAAAGTAGGCAGGAAGTGGAGAGTATTTGCTTCTTGCAAAATGGAATTAGACTTGGTAAAGTTGCATTTATATGACTTTTCTCCAAGGTGCACCTCAACAAAGGATGGCTAGAATGGAGGCAAAAAACCAAACTCCTTTTGGCCTAAAACCTCAGATGAAAGATTTAAGGATGCCATAATGACCTAGAAGTGAGGGAGAACCCAATTACATGCACATAATTTCCATCCATATCCTTCATTGAATTTATCTACAGGTGAGATAATCCATGCACTCCAGCAAAATGAAACCAATGGAAAACTGAAATAAGTTAGCATAGACTTAGTTTCTGTCTATTGATGGGATGAACAGAGTTTTGAGTTTGAGTTCAGGTTAGTTGACTATTTGCAAAAAGCCAAAATTGATACCCTTCATGGGAAGATAATAGAATCTGGAACCTCTGCAAGTCATCCACAGTATCCAGTATATAATAAAAACTTATTAGATGTGAAAAGTAACAAGTAAAAGTGACTGACTTATAGTTAAAAAAATATCAATACATGAAAAACACTTTTGAAGTAACATTGATTGTGTTAGTCTGGGTAGAGTAGAGAAACAATTTCATAGACACTCATATATATAAGAAAGAGATTTATATACAAGAACAATTTAATATTAAAAAAATGTGCCAGCCCAGTCCAGATCAAGTCCATAGGTCCAATATTAGCCCATTTGTCCTATACCAATCTATAAAGTCCTCTTCAGACTCACAAAATGCATGCAATGATTCCGAATGCAGGACGATCACAGTCCAGTGGGTAGAAAGTCTTTGGCTACAGTGATGTTGTAAGCATCTCAGTGCTGGCAAGGGTCTCTACATGGCTTCTCTGGCTCCAGAAGTCTGGTTGCATCAGGGTGGGTCCATGTGGCTTCTCCAGCTCCCAGGGTGTAGAGCTATGTGTCTTGTCAGTAGAGCATCTCCAAGGGAGTGAGCGGAGAGAGAGAGTCTCTCTTGACTCCAAGGAGGAAATACAGGAATTCCCAAAATTCTCATGCCCACACAGAGGCCTCATTTGCTGTGATCTGATTGACAGACTGGACTCCACCCCTTCTCTCTTAATCCTTTCAAGTCCCAAATTGACACCAGATTATGTAACTATCACACTGATGTTGGACTTTACAGACAAAATTTAAAGCAGATACTATAAATATATTAGACGGTTTAAAGAATCATTTGCTCATACTAAGCAAACTGATAAGCAAATCACAACAAAGCTATAGAAAGTATTTAAAATGGAAAATATAGACTTAGAAAGCTAGATTTTAGTAATAAACAACTCCTTCAATGCATTGAACAGCAGAAAGGAGACAACAGAAGGTTAAGAAAGTTTAAAGGTAATTCAAAAGACATTATCTAGTCTGAATAATCAAACCCTAACTCACTATCATTAAGCTGATTCTGACCTAGTATAGGGCTTCATGGGCTACAAATGTTTATGAGAGTATATAGGCTCAACTTTATCCAGCATTTTGCCTAGTGGGTTCAGCCCACTGTACTGGTGATTAGTGGTCCAACGAATGCATACACACACACACACACACACACACACATATATACATATATAAAGCAATGAATTATGTGGCATATAACTAGATGGAGGTCTGGAAAGTCCAACTCAATAGGACCTAACAACAACAGCACTATATATGACTGATATAGCACAAGAGATGTAATGTAAATGAAGCTCTACTATTGCAATGTTCTTAGCTTTTACATTATACAGGTCAAGGTTAATATTATGTAGACTACAATGAGTTATGCATATATATTGTATTCTTGTAACTTACCACTAAAACATTTATGTAAAGTGGCATAGCAATAAAGTCAATTAAGAAATGTGAATGTAACAGTGGGAATATTTAATCCAAACGAAAGCAGAAAAGGCCATTAAAATTCAAAACCAAACTCCTTCAGAAATGAGAAACAGAGGGATAAAATAGAGAAAAGAAAAACACAGAAGAAAGCAAAAATTTTAACTTAAATTCCTTAACACTTTCCAATAATATAAATAATATAAAAACTCAAATGAAAAAGGCAGAGGGAGAAAGGGGGAACAGATGACAAAGTCTACATATGCCCTCCTCCCTGGGGGACGGACAGCGGAGAAGTGGGTGAGGGAGACGTTGGATGGGGTAAGATATGATAAAATAATAATAATTTATAAATTATCAAGGGTTCAGGGGGAGCGGGGAGTGGGGAGGGAGGGGAGAAAATGAGCCGACACCAAGGGCTCGGGTGGAAAGCGGGTGTTGTGAGAATGATGAAGTCAACATATGTACTAATGTGCTGGACACAAATGATGTATGTATGGATTGTGATGAGTTGTACGAGACCCTAATAAAATGATTATTTAATAAAATAAATACATGAAGCCAAAAGTGACAAAATTTAAGTCGACACATCTATATAGTAAAAAGAAAGAAAGAAAAAAAATCTATATAGTTGTAGCTCTTAACACTCCTCCCTCAGTCACTGATAGAATAATTAGGGACAAAAACTTAGTAAAGGCATACAAGATGTTTTTCAAGACCACATGGAATTTTAACCAATATAGACCATAGAGTGAGCCATAATATGAGATGCAGTAAATATCAAAAGACTGAAAAGGCTAGTGTGTATTTGGTGACCTCAATAAGAAAACTAGAAAATCAATTACGTGCAAATTAGAAAACATCCTTCTAAATAACTTTGTCTAATAGACAAAGGAAGAAACCAAACGGAAAATTAGAAAAATACTTCAAATCATGTCACGATGAAAATACATTTCAGAAATTATTGTATGGAGCTAAATCAGGGCTTAGTGAGAAATTCATGAATTTTGAATGCCTGTGATAGAAAATAAGAAGAGTTTAAGATTTCTGACCTAACTTTTCTCACTTCAGAAACTAAAAAAGAACAATAGAGTAAATACAAGTAAGAGAAAGAAAGGGTGTAGATAAAATAGAAATGTGTGCACTGGAAAATTTACATAGCCAAAAATTGGTATATTGAAATTATTAATAAAAGTAATAGGTATATAGCAAAAATTATAACAAAGAGAGAATATACAAAAAAATATCAAGAATGAGCCTACTGATATAAAAATTATGGACAAGGGAATATTATAAAGCAATCTATTAACAACACATTTGAAACATAAACTGAGTTAGATAAATTCCTTGAGAAACCTATATTACCAAAAGTACAATAAATAAATACAAAAATAAAGTTAACAGACTTACATCCAATTTAAGAGATT